CTCATTTCACTGATGGCTCACACTGTCTGTGGTACAGTTGGCACCCACAGCCCTTTGCTCATCCTTCTTACGTACTCCCTTAGCCCCCTACTGGCTTTACTTCCTCTTCTGTTCAATCTAGGCCCCATGATTCATTCCTTTAACTCTCCCTCTTCTCCTTCTGTCCTTTTTCCCTCCTATCCTTCTGACCTAGTAAAGCCCCAAAGGATGGCTCCATCCAGCGTCTCCAGAATAAAATAATATTTATTATTATAATAAAGCCTGGCTCAGGCTGCTACAGACCTGTCCACAGCTGTGTGGACTGATGCTGCTGCTCCATCTCCATGGTCTCTGTAGTCTTCAAACTCACCTGAGCATTAATTGCCACCTACATAACCTTGTATGTATCCCTCCTGAGCTTGTGGCATTTTTCCACAACAGATGTTTCAGATTATCTCAACTTCTTTTTTTTTTTTTGAGATGGAGTCATGCTCTGTTTCCCAGACTGGAGTGCAGTGGTGCAATCTCAGCTCACTGCAACTTCTGCCTCCCTGGTTCAAGCGACTCTCCAGCCTCTGGAGTGGCTGGCATTACAGGCGCGCACCACCACACCCGGCTAATTTTTTGTATCTTTAGTAGAGACAGGGTTTCACTGTGTTAGCCAGGATGGTCTCAGTCTCCTGACCTTGTGATCCACCTGCCTTGGCCTCCCAAAATGCTAGGATTACAGACATGAGTCACTGCGTCTGGCCTGTCTCAACTTCTTAATCTACTAGTTTGTATATGTTACATGGCAAGTAACTGTTTATTAATTCTGAGTCTTAGCATAAAGTAACTTTTTTTTTTTTTTTGCTTTTAGCTTTTTATTTTTTTTTTATTAACAGGGGAGTCTCATACATATAGCTCTGATAAACTGACTCCTGATCTTCAGTCTATTTTTGTTGCTGCATAACTGGATAAGGAATGAAGGAAAAACAAAAACAAAAAAAACCCGATTTGGAAGACTTAGCTGAATCTGTCTTTGGAAATAGAATCTATTAAACATGTATGTGTTACTTGGACTAAAATACAATGTAAACCCGTATAAATGGTAGTTCCAGTCATCTCAAGTTTTTTGAAGAATGTTAGAATCTGTTGTTTAAATTGTCTATCATCCTGTTTACAAAAAATCTAAAGTCATTTAGGTCTTAAAAATTATTTGGATAATTTTTCTTCCAAAGTGAAGAGAGTTGATGATTAGGCAGATATGGTAGACAATTTGGTCAACGTTTAAATAAGCATTAAATAACCCACATATTAACTGTCATAAAGTAAACTTTTAATAAAGGCAGTGTGTTGAAATATGTGCATTTTAAGGAGCATTCAAAGTTTGACTTAGAAAATCCTATTGAAATCAAAGAAATTCATACGGGCTTACCCCATATAGATTATTGTATGAAAACAGATGGGTCCTCCAGAATGTTTCACATTCTGTATATCCTATGTATGGACGTACACATGACTTTCTGCTCTTAGAGGCGTGCCTCCTCTCCTGTTTCACACAAGACTAGGAGAACATGAGCATTTTATTTTCAGAATTTCTTCTCACAGTTTCTTTGAAAATACTATGGGAAGTATACTAAAGAGGGAAGATGGTGTGTTCCAGTCAGGGTTCTTGGTTGCAAACGGGTGACCCTGGCTGTGGTTAGCCGAGAAGAAACAGTAAAGGGAACTTGGGAAAAACTCTACAATTCAATAATGAAAACACAAATAATCCAGTTTAAGAAATGAGCAAAGGATATGAATAGACATTTCTTCGAGGGAGATATACAAATGGCCAATAAACACAGAAGAGGATACTCAGCAGCATTAGCTATTTGGGAAATGCAAATCCAAACTTCAGTGAGATGCCACTTCACACCAACTAGGATGGCTAGAATTAAATAGCTAGATAGCGAGTGTTCACTGGGATGTGGAAAAATCAGACCCTCATATGCTGCTGTTGGGAAACAAGCAAAGCAAAGATCCACTACGCTTTTGTGTGCAATACCTACTGTAGACTTAGTTTGATTTTTGAGCAAGTTCATCTGATGCTAAAAAGGTTGAGATTTTAAATTTGATTTCCATTACTGGTTTTATAATAGTTACCTTGTCTTCTACTACTTTACTCAGCGGTCTCACATATTATTTTTCTAATGCCGAGGAAAATCAGGTGAAGGAGTACATGAATTATTTATTGCAAAACCATCTTGACCTTAGTGGGGAGATGGAGAGAGAGGATTCAGATTATAGGCCTTGCCGATATGGGATTAGTCTTCAGTAAAATACTAATGTACCTAATTATAGTAATCTAAAGTAACTAGATACATGTTATTGAAGCCAAAAATTTTACCTTATATTCTTCAATTTTTAAAACCTTATGAAATATTTGAAAGGGCAGTTAACATAGTTCATAATTCTAATGATTAATGTCAACAGTTCGAATGCTTTAGGATGCCTTCCTGAGTGAAAGAATGTGTTAAAAATCATTGTAGATTAGTGAAGGTTGAGTTTTCTTCCTGACGATTCATTTATATCAGAACTTTATTCTGCTTAGTTTCAGGTAACACATTTCTGCAGGAATACTGTAGAAGTGATGCTATATTCTTTTCACTAGAATAGATTGGGAAGCATGTGATGTTTGTCCTATTGCTGATGCTGTTAATTTTGGTCATGTAGTTAAGATTGTGTCTGACAGTTTTCATTACTGTTAAGTTACCATTCTTCCCTTAGTAATTCGTCTATTTGTAGGGAGGTGCCTTGGGACTATACATATTCTGTTACTCCAAAACCTTTACCCACTAGTTTTGGTATTCACTGATAATTATTAAGATGGCTGCCAAATGGTGATTTCTAATTCAGTCATTTTTTCTACAGTTATTAGTTGATTTTCTATGGAAAGGCCAATGATATTCTCTTCTCACCTATTTATTTACCTCAGTACATGCATAGATTTTTGTGTATTTAGGGAGTTAGAAGTTATTACTATAATTATTTCTGATGCTTAAATTATCCCAGATTTGGCCAGTGGGAGCCTTTTTAAGTTGACTCCTGTGTCCTTCTGTCATGCCCCCATCATTCTTTGAGCACTTCTTTACTTTCCAGCACAAGCTGTTTCGGACTAATATTGTGCTAGAGCTACCCCAGCTCTAGAATTGGCCATTTCTCCAAGGATGCTAATTTCGATTTTAAGTAGAGGAAGGAATCTTGCATCTTATGCTGACTTTCAAAATAATATTGACATATGAAACACAGAAGTTCCTTTAGAAATGTTAGAAATATTTTAATTTGTTCTCTTGTTCACTAAGTTTCCTTTGGGTGCTTAGGACTAGATATTTCCAATATAAATGAAGTTTAACTGCAATTCACATTTCAAAAGCAATGTTAAATTAATTGTTACAGACAATTAAATACTATAGATTTACAGAATGGGCTAAAAACCTAGGAATTGAAGAAACATTTGAGAAAGAAGTAGGATTTAAATAAATAGAAGGGAGGACATTAGATTCAGTGCTACAGAATGAGCAAAGGTATAGTGCTAGGCGTAAGGCGTGTCTTAGGAGGAAATTCTGATAAGCCTGACTAATTGGTGAAGAGAATAATGTTGATCAATAGTGAATGAGTGGAATCCAGCTTATTGGAAGCCTAGATTACAGGCTGGCTGATTTAGAACCTATCCTTCAAAGCAACACAGTGTCCTTAAGTTTTTGGGCTGGGTAGTCATGAAGAGTATATTTTAGGAAACTTGATATGATGTTATATTGCAGAATAGATTGAAAAACAGAAGACAAATTAGGGAACTCATAAAATAAGTCGAAGGCAGTAAAAGTACAAATAGAAAGGAGTGAGTAGATAGGAAATTAATTTGAAAGGAAGAAATAGCAATGTGTTGAATTAGGATCACTGGGAGAATGGGAAACTGAAACAGGAAACTGCTGATTTTTGTAAGAGAAAGAAAAGAGAAATAAGTTGCAAACAAACTCAAAAGAAAAAAGAGGTTTGCTGATACTGAGATTTTTATTTAATCATTTAAAAATAGTGATTGATTAAAAGCTGTAGAACTACTCTGCAACTTCTTATACAAAAGAGTATAGTTGAAAATTAATGATTTGGAGCTATAGAAATTGTTAGACACAGTAATGCTTGTTGAATTTTATAACACTGTTAGAAATAGGCATTTCACAATAGCTATCATTTTCAGTTTTAGATTTATAAGGAAATGGAAAGTTGTTTTGGTTTGATATGTGCTAGTAAATTCAGCCACACTACCAGTCTCAAATCAAGTCTCTGAACTGAGATCCAGATCCCTGATTGTTTTGAAGGTACGGGGTTTGTTGGCATTAATGGGTGAGAAATTTGTTTCTAAGTGATTCTTCTGGTGTTATTGAAATTCACATTTCTATCTTCTTCTTTAGGAAAAAAATTAGTTTGAACTTTAGCTTTGTCTAAAGAAAAAAACGCAAACTAAGAACTGCACTGTATAGGATATTAAAATCATCAAATCTTGTGGTCAAGACATTCTTTGCCATGTGCTGAGAGATGAAAATAGAAAGTATCTAGGTTCAAACATTCTACCTGAAGTGAGAATGCATTTTTCTGAATAAATATTTTTTCATTTCATTAATTTTTGCAATCAAACATTTAGGTCTTAACTGAAGCATCCTTCTTCATGGGTAGAGCAATAAAATGACACAGGTTTGTTCTCTCTCTAGCTGCTGTGTCTTCAGGTTTTCTGAACTGGCATGAATCCTAGCAGTTACATCTGAGGACTGAACCTCATTCTAGCTATAGGTTTGTTTATTTGTTCATTAATAGGTTAACATATGAACTTCCTGATTAAAATCCGTTGAAAGAAATTATTATATGTGGTAATGTATCAACCATATAATGTGTTGGAATAGTGCTGGGTGACTGTCATAATTTGCTGGTACAGTTTACAAAAAGGAAAATAAAGTTAGTTCTTTTTGTTGGGAAAGAAGATTTCATGTTATCTGTGTTTGCAGACTTTCTGGCTCATCTGCTGGAGGAATCCTTGCTGCGGGGGTGTTTTCATTTTCTCGTCTAACATGGCAGTGGTCCATTGCAGCAGAGGTTTTTAGCTTAAACAATCTGTTTGTGGGGCTGCTTATGGCTCTTACTGTACATTTTGAGGAAGCAGCAACTGCAAAGGAGAGATCAAAGGTAACCTATTTTGATCAAAGTGAAATCAGTTTTTGTTTTAATTTTTAGACAGATGTGTTTCTTTTTAATGTTGGCTTAAATACCATTTTTCTGTTCTGATTACTGTCAGGATAATCTAGCATGTTGAGAGAGAAAATGATCTCAGTCTTTTTCATTATGGATGGAACCACGACAACCCTTATAAAAACAGGGTGCTTTTTTTTTCTCTCAGAGTTGAGAAGGTTTTTGGAGAATGAGAGGATTATGAACGCCCTTGTGTGTCCCATGGGAAAGAAAGGCTTGTTGGTTAATTCAGCATCATTTGTTGATGTTATCAGAAGTTGCCAAACTCTGGACTGGCTCCCTTAAATTATAGTACATTGACTCACTCCTTAATTGCCAAAAAAGATCAAATTTGTAGTTTACTTACCTAAAAGAAGAGTATCAAATGTAAAACATGAAGTAGTTCAGATGAGATTACAGTGAATTTTAAGGTAAACACTATCATCAGAATCACTTGACATGTGAAAGAACACTATCTTCTAAAAACTTGGAGTCTACACATTGGGAAATGCCAAATCATCTTAGTATAGGCAGCCTTGTGTTGTTCAAGAGTGTAGAAACAAAAGAACATCATGGTTTATGTGTGGTTTCCTGTGATGCTATTAGAGGGTTTTTTGGGCTTAAAAAATGTCTGATTATGCTAAAAAATTATTCAGTACACCTTTTAAAGAGTGAGAAGGCACATTATCAGGTTCAGGTATAGGGACAGCTGCAAGGGGGTTTTGTAGTAGGGGAAAGAAATCAGGCTCAACTCAAAATTCAAGGAAAAGTGGGAATTTATAGCCAAGGAGCCAGGGTGGAAGTCAGTGGATAGAAAATTACTGAGAGGAAACATCAGGGTTTGTAAAGGGGGATTCTAGCTAAACCAATTTAACTGAATTCTGGCTGAAAGCAGGCCAGAGCGATCAGACATCACCTAGGGAATGGTAGTGGATGAAGAACTTGATCAGATAATGAGGATGAGAGTTCTAGTGAAACTGACGTGGCAGGATTCATGCTAAAATTGGACGATGCAGAGATGAGCATGGAACCCCAAAAGTCAAGGCTCAGTTGGGAGAAGTTCAGAGGAGCCTGACTTGAATTTGGCCAAGGAGAGAATCTTTGTCGATTATGAAACTAACGCACATTCAAAAAACTCAAAAACATCACCCAGAGATAACCAGGTTTCTAAATAAAAGAAGTTATATTTGTTTAATAGGAGAAAAAACAATCGCTGAATTTCAATTTAGATTTTACTTCAGTAAGCATTACACAATATCCTGTTACTATAACAACTTACCTGTTTATCATACAGGATTTTCTAAAAGCTGGTTTGAAAACAGTTATTTAAGATGAAACTGCAATTATTTGACGAACATGGAAACTATTAACAAAAATAATAGTGATAAATATTAGGGACTATGAAAGGTATAACTACTTGTGTCTTAGAGGTTGATTTTTAACCTAACTTATGAGACAAATGCTTGGTTTTAATATAAAAATGGCTTTTTATTATTGTTCTTAGAGTTTTAGGTGAATTTTTTACTTAATTTTTTTTTTTTAATTTATTTTCAGATAACTAAAATTGGTGCTTTCTGCTGTGGCCTCAGCTTATGTAACCAGCACACAATAATCCTCTATGTTTTGTGTATAATACCTTGGATTCTCTTTCGACTTTTAAAAAAGAAGGTAGGTTTTTGAATTTTGAAAAATAAAAATGTACAATATTTTACTTAGGTCTAATACAACATTTTTGTTATAAGAAAATTTCAGGCTTTAATTTTTCTTAGGTTTCATGTAAAGCATAAACAACCTTAGGGCCTAACAATATTGACTGAAAAAAAATAGGATTTCCAGAAATTATGCAGTATTGATTGCAGTGGCATCTGGCATGTTCCATAATTTTGTGACTGATTCTGAACAGCACCTCAATGAAAGTAGGCTGAAAGGACTTAAAGCAACAATATCAAATTTTCTTATTGTTTTACACATTCTAAGAAACAGAGTGGTGTGCCATCATACTTACTCATTTAGCTGTGTGCGGAGTCCCGGCCCTGTGCCATTTGCTTGTTCCAGGTGCTGAAGAGTCAGCTCTCAACAAAACAGACATCACTGCTATTGTGAACGAACTAATAAAATCTCTGCTAAATAACAGTGCTGTTTTCTCAAAAAGGATTCCCTGGACTTAAAACTGATTTATTGTTATTTCTTCTTTCTCTGAAAGAAGAAAATCAAATATAAAGCAACATAGGAAAATTACTTCATTAGGCATTGAGAGATTTAGTACCCAGAGGCTAAAATAGTCTATATACAAAGCCAGTGCTAGAGTCTTTTTACTATATTGTTTGTTTGTGTGCAGACTCAGCTTTATTTATCCTTTTATTATTTGTTCATTATACCTGGCTATATTCAGAATTAGAAAACACATAAATAAAATTGTTATCTAGAAATGAGAAATAATTATACCAAAGCTTTAGATAACTATATTTACTATACTTGAACACATTTTGCTTCTTAGCTTCTTAACAGCAAACCAAAAAGGGTAACCTGGAGGTTATAAAAGTTTTATGATGTGATTAAAAAGTAAGTAAAAGGGGCCAGGTGCAGTAGCTCATGCCTATAATCTCAGCATTTTGGGAGGCCCAGGTAGGTGGATTGCCTGAGCTCAGGAGTTCAAGACCAGCTTGGCAACACAGTGAAACCTTATCTCTACTAAAAATACAAAACAATTAGCCGGCGTGGTGGCATGCACCCATAGTTTCACTTTCTCAGGAGACTAAGACAGGAGAATTGCTTGAACCCAGGAGGCAGAGGTTGCAGTGAGCCAAGATCCAATCACAGCACTGCACTCCATTCCGGGCAACAGAGCAAGACTGTCTCAAAAAAAAAAAAAATTAAAAAAAAGAAAGAAAAGGCAAGTAAAAGGGAAACATAGCAGTTGACAGGAAATTACTTTTCCTTGGCACTGAATTTTGTGAAGTCAATCATGTAAGTCCTTATATAATGCTTATTAAACAGCATAACAGGCAGTGTCTTTAATAGTGTATACAGCAAATTCTTTATATGGTCTTTTATTATATAAACCTTAATTAAAAATGGAGATATGAAATATAACTCAGTGAAGTTTTCCTATGGAATGTGAGAAGGAGGCCCAAATATTTCTCTTGTGAGTCAGTGGGATGGATGGATACATCTTCCTCTAGTATCAGTCATCTTACCCAGGCTTCTGACCTGAACAACATTGGAGGGATGCATTCTCAGCTCATATCTCATGTTCGTTGATTGAAAGGAGAGGCATATACTTTGTGTAAAACATGGAGGATTCAGAGTTGATAATTTTGGATCCTGGACTAAGGGCATATTTTCCCTGCACTGAGGTGAGCTACCAGACAGTGCTGAAATTTTGAGACCTGTGACTGCTTATTTCCCATTAGTTAAAAAGCAGAGGCTAGAAAATAAGGCCTACCAATGAAGTAACAGGGCAGTTGGATTTCACTGTGAGGTGATGTCAGACAGAACACAAAGTCCTGAGTCAGTTGGTTTCAACCCTGGATGCTTACTTACCTGAGAAGCTTTTAAAAAGTCTGTGTTTGGGCAGGGTGCAGTGGCTCACACCAGTAATCCCAGCACTTTGGGAGGCGGAGGCGGGCGGATCACGAGGTCAGGAGTTCAAGGCCAGCCTGACCAACATGGTGAAACCCCATCCCTACTAAAAATACAAAAATTGGCTGGCCGTGGTGTCAGGCACCTGTAATCCCAGCTACTCAGGAGTCTGAGGCAGGAGAATCGCTTGAACCCAGGGAGCGGAGATTGCAGTAAGCCGAGATCATGCCATTGCACCCCAGCCTGGGTAACAGAGCGAGACTCCATCTCAAAAAAAAAAAAAAAAAAAAGTTAGTGTTTGTTTGTGTGTATTTATACATAGATGTACATATGTATATAGTAATGTGATGTACATATGTATATAGTAATGTAGGTATATATGTATATATGTGTTTGTATGCACATACATACATAGATGTATATATATATACACATATTTATGCTAAAACTTGATTCTACCCCAAAAAATTCTGATATAAGTGATCTGGAGTTAGGCCCAGACATCAGTATTTTTAAGAAGCTCCCAGGTGATTTTAATGTGCAATCAGGACTGTAAACTACTTATTCCCCAACTGTCTGCAATAGCTCTCATGTCATTGTCTCCTGTTTTATTTCTCACACAAAAGGAAAATTCTGCAGCAACTGCATCTTACCATTCTAAATTCAACTTTATAATATGCAGAAGCTGTGCAAAAGTAAGCATGTACTTTCTTTAAAACCACTTTTAAGAATAGCAAAGGCATGTTGTGAGATTATTTCTCACACTCCTTTTATGCCATCATTTTTTATGCATCTCATTACTGCTATAGAAATCTCAAATGAAATCAGTGCTATAATAAAACACTTCATTTTCAATTAAGAATGTTTATTTGAAAATGCTAATATAAATCAACTGCTTGTTCTACTTCTGGTGAGTGTGAACCTTGATTCTTGTATTCATTCTCACATATGAATTTCTCTTTTTTGTAAAGGAAAAATTGGCAATTTCCAAATATGATATTTGTAGGAGACCATCTTTTCCAGTTAACTAGCTAGTATTTGAATCTTGCTGTAACATGCAAGAATTGATTGAATATACCAGAATTCGTATTATTTTGGATTTAATCTTTATAAAACATTGTCGATATTGTCCTTTGTTTAAGAAAAGTATTATACAAATGAGAAATACATTTTCCTAAATATGGTATATGAAGCAGCATTGTTAAATATAACAAGTAATTTTCTTTAATAGACCATCCTGTATGTAAATTGAAGGGAAAAAAAGCATTTGGTTGAGCTTGGAGTATATATAAAAGCTAGTTTCATTTATGCCAAACATTTCTGTGAAATGTTCACAATCATTGTTGAAAGAATAGTCAACGCATAATGATAATAATATATACGGTTGAAGTCTACTCCTAATGATGATGATGAAGTGAATTGGTCTTAGAATAGTATTTTGGGCATATTCAAAATCAGCCAAACAGCACATAGTCACTTCCAAGCAGGTTATCTTAGCTGTGCAATGCTGCTTGTCATGACATGGTTTTAAATGTAAGCGATGCAATAAACATGATACTCATGAGCCTTTGCTAATATTATTTGCTTCACTCAGCTTTCACCTGCCATGCAAAGGAGTTCAGGCTGATGCAATTTTCTAGTAATCCATAGTAATCAGAAGGTTTAACATAGTATTCTGTGGTAACTTAATATAAATTGGGAGATCAGCTCTGAGTAAACATATTTGATGTTTTCCTTGATATGTTCTTGAAGTTCCAGGATGAATCTACTAAAATAAACATTGTTATACCACCCAATGTGCTCTGATGCAGGAACTCTCCCTGGGCTCTTTGTTGAAGTTGAGCCTGTATTTCTCTGCTGGTTTGCTGCCCTATGTCCACCTTCCCATCTCATCTTACCTTAATCATGCCCGGTGGACCTGGGGAGACCAGACAACACTGCAAGGATTTTTGACACATTTTCTCAGGGAAGAATATGGAACCTTCAGCCTGGTAAATTCATATTTAAAGCCCTTCTAAGGAAACAAGTAGCAAAACTTTGGTGCTCTGCCTGGGCCTTGATTGCAAAAACAATATTTATCAATGACAGTGGATCGAATTTTTATTTTGGTTATTTATATAACAAACTTGCCCTTCGGAATATAACCTTTGATGTAAGTTAGAGGAAAGTCAGAATCACTTAATTTGACATCATATAGTTTTATATCCTGAATATATTTTTTAGGATAGCAATCATTAAAAAGTCTTCCACCTACATTTGAAGCATTTCAGTCTTGTTAGCACTGAGTCGCTATGGGCACTTGATCTGTGAATAAAACTATCTGGAAAAGATTGAAGGAAAAAAAAATCCTCAAATTTTAAAATTTACCTTGACCAAACCACTTCTTCTTCTTCTTCTTTTTCTTTTCTTTTTTTTTTTTTTTTTTTTTTTTTTTTTTTTTTTTTTTTTTTTTTTTTTTTTACATATTTGATGAACAGTGTTCATGTTAGTATCTAGTTATTAAAACTGAAGACATATCTGTCAATGCCTCATAAGAGACAAGTTCACTAAATGGAAACAGTGTGCTCCAAAGAAGTGCAAAAGGCCTTGCTTTTCCTAAGACATGTTAGGGGAACACCTGAAATGTAGTCACAGTAAAGCTTATCTGAAAAATGAAAGGATAAGCAGGTTTTTTATTTTCTTGTAGACAGTTATATCAGGTTTTTCTTTCTTGGTTTGTACTTTTGTGTCCTGTTTAAGAAAGCAAATCTCAGAAGAGTACATAGCATATAACACCACTTACACAAAACTCTAAACCATGCGAAAACTAAACAATCTATTGATCAAGGTACATACAAAAGTGGTAGGACGATATATTTATAAAAAAGAGGGAAATAACACCAAATTCAAGGTAGTAGTTACTACTGTGGGATGAGGAAAAAGTCTTTGAGGGCTTTGTGAGATACCTTGTGATATTGATGAGGTTTTGTTTCTTAAATGAATGATGGATCTATAGATTTTTTAAAAAGCACTTTAAGCCTTAGATATGTATTCTATGTTTTTTATATGTAGAAATTTTCACATGAAATAGATTAATAAAAAGGAAAATTATTAATTATTTTGACTTAGAGAATTTGATACTTTACATTTATACTCTGCTTTACTTATGTTGGTTATTTCATAAAAATATTGTCTGAGGACCATTCTAGATTTGAAATTTATATTATTCATACATAATTGTGAAATTGTAGATGAAGAAGTTGTAATGAATTTTAATCGAAGTGCTATAAAGAGCTTAAGAAAAGTCTATAATGGAAGTATAAAAAGGTTATTAATTTATTAACATGTTAATCATTTTTGCTGGAATAGTTTAACTGATTTCTAGCCAATTGTTGTTTGTTTTTTTTGAGAGAGTCTTGCTCTATCACCCAGGCAGGAGTGCAGTGGCGCGATCTTGGCTCACTGCAGTGTCCACCTTTTGGGTTCAAGTGATTCTCCTGCCTCAGCCTCCCGAGTAGCTGGGATTACAGGTGCGCACCACCATGCTCTGCCTTTGTTTTGTGTTTTTAGTGGAGATAGGGTTTCACCATGCTGGCCAGGCTGGTCTTGAACTCCTGACCTCATGATCCAACCACCTTGGCTTCCCAAAGTGCTGGGATTACAGGGGTGAGCCACCGTGCCCGGCCTGCCAATTATTATTTCTGAAATTCTTCCTAAAAGATGTCCCAATTAGTTTTCACTGACTTCTTTAAAAATTCAGTAAGACTCTGATTAAAGACTTTGAGAGAAATGTTGCCTTGTACATTTAAAACCTGTATCTTTTAAACATACAGCCAAAAAGCATATGAAAAAGTGCTAAATATCACTAATCATTAGAGAAATGAAAATCAAAACCGCAATGCAGTACCGTCTCACACAAGTCAGAATGGCTTTTATTATATGAAAAAGTCAAGAAACATGCTGGTGAGGTTTCAGAAAAAAGAATACTACTACACTGCTGGTGGGAATGTAAATTAGTTCAGCCACTGTGGAAAATAATGCAGCAATTTCTGAAAGAACTTGAAACAGAATTACCATTCAACCCAGCAATCCCATTTTTGGCTGTATACCCAAAGGGATATAAATTGTTCTACTCTGAAGATACATACACATGTATCTTCATCACAACACTATTCACAATAACAGAGACCTAAAATCAACCTAAATGCCTATCAATAGTAGACTGGATTTTTTAAAATGTGGTACAAAAACACCATGGAATACTACACAACTGTAAAAAAGAATGAGCTTATGTCCTAGCAAAGTAATGCAGAAACAGAAAACCAAATACCACATGTTGTAATTTGTAAGTGGGAGCTAAACATTAAGTACACATGGATACGTGTACTTGAGGGCAGAGGGTAGGAGGAGGGAGCAGATCAAGAAAATAATTGGGTACTATGCTTATTACCTGGGTGGTGAAATAATCTGTACACCAAACCCCCTTGACATGCAATTTAACTGTGTAACAAACCCGCACAGGTATGTTTTAAGATTGGTAAAGTACAGTAGCCTAATAAAGTTTCAGTTTAATGCTTGTGCAAATAAACGTTTGTCTTTTGTGTTTAGGCTAAATCTGAAGTAGGATCCACTATGTCTGAAATACTGCTGTGAGTATGAAATACTTGAAACTATTTTAAAATAAATTCTCTGTTCCTTTAAGTGATTTTAGGGATTTCTGAGTTTATCTCTTTGTAGCAAAGTACGTCTGAGAAGTAGTTTTTCCCTCTGCAGTTAACAGTTGTTTGTATTTACAGTTGTCCCTCAGTATCCATGGAGCATTGGTTACAGGACCTCCTGAGGATATAAGGGCCATGGGTACTCAAGTCCTGATACAAAATGACATAATATTTGCATACAGCCTATGTACATCCGCTTGTATACTTTAAATCTTCTCTAGATTATCATACCTAGTACAGTGTAAATGCTATGCAAATAGTTGTTATGCTGTATTGTTTAGGAAATAATGACAAGAAAAAGCATCTGGGAGTGGGGGCGGGAGGAGAGGAAAAAAAAAAAGCGTCTGTGTATGTTTGTAAAGACAGTTCTTTTCCCCAGATATTTTTGATTTAAGGTCGGTTGAATCCACGGAGGCAGACCCATGGATACAGAGGGCCAACTGTACCGTCAAATATTTTTAGCACCTCCTTCAGTAAGAGCTTAAAATAAGCAATAAACACAACAGTGAATGAGAATATTAGGGTACTATATAGAGCATTTGTAGAACTAAAATGTTTTTAACCTTCAATTGGATATAAAATTACCCAGTCAGTGTAGTATTGTTTTATAAATAATGTATTGTCTGTTCTGGCTTTTACATTGTCTTTATTTTATGTACATTTTATAACATTGTATTCAGCACAATTTGAACAATTATTTTCTTGTTATTTTGGTTTTTTAATTCTTCAGAGCTTAATTTATGTAATGTCTTCTATGACTTGTTTAGGCTATCCTTGCCATAAGCTCTATCTTTGACTTACATATTTTTAACATCCAACCTTATTAGAGCTGGCTTAAGCAAATATATTTCCATCTATATTATTCAGTAGTGTTCTTTGAAAAGTGGGTTAATATTTGCTTTAAAACCTACAGATTAAGACAAGTGGAAAGATATCCATACCAACTTGATACAAAATTTTGGAAGAAAATAGGTTTCTATAACACTAAAGTGATGTCCTAACTAATTACTAATTTGGAACTCTTGGGGCTGTTTGAAAAAAACTATGAGGAGAATATTTCAACTTTATATGTGAGGCAGTTCATGAGTTCCCACGATTTTGGTGTAATTTACTTACTAGCTTGCTTTCTTCCAGCAATCCTTCCTTCCTTTCTTTTTAAACAACTTCTTTTTTCTACTCCCAAAAAAGGTACATAATCTTTATAGAAAATACAGGTAAGCAAAATTAAGAAAGTAAAAACTACCTATAAATCCAACATGTAGAGATAACCACTATTATTAATCTGTTAATACTTTAGACTATATTTTTCTAATATTTTTAGGATTTTTGTTTATTTTTAAAAGTAGGATCACAGCAAACCTACTGTTTTATTGGCCTGCTGTTTTTCACTTTACATCATATCTTGAAAATATCTCCCTGCCATCAGCTACTTTCACATAACCTTTTGATGGTTCTCACCATTGATTTTAAATATTTCTTTTTATGTGTGAGACTTTTGTGGCTTTCTCCTTTTAGTTGGGGGAATGGAACAGGAAGCTCAGTTTTCTTTTCAGAAATAAAGACGGCTCTGGGTACAGTGGCTCATGCCTGTAATCCTAGCACTTCGGGAAGCCAAAGTAGGAGGATCGCTTGAGCCCAGGAGTTTGAAACCAGCCTGGGAAACTTAGTGAGACCTTGTCTCTGCAAAAAACTTTTTCTTTTTTGAGAAAGAGTCTTGCTGTGTCACCCAGGCTGGAGTACAGTGGTGCGATCTCTGCTCATTGCAACCTCTGCCTCCTGGGTTCAAGTGATCCTCCCACCTGAGCCAGCTTAGTATCTGGGATTACAGGTTCGTGCCACCACACCCAGCTAATTTTTGTTATTTTTAGTAGAGACAGGGTCTCGCCATGTTGGCCATGCTGGTCTCAAACTCCTGACCTCAAATCATCCACCTGCCTCAGCCTGCCAAAAAGCTGGGATTACAGAAGTGAGCTACCGCACCCAGCCTACAAAACATTTTTTTAAAAAAATTAGCCAGGCATGGTGGCATGAGCCTGTAGTTACTCCAGGGGCTGAAGTGAGAGGATCACTTGAGCCCAGTAGGTTGAGTCTCCAATGAGCCATCATCATGCCACTGTACACCAGCCTGAGTGACACAGTGAGACGCTGTCTCAAAAAATAAATAAATGAAATGAAGATAAAGACAGTCATGTCAGTGTCTCTGGGCTTTTACTTTATTCTGCTTTGCTCCATGCAGAAGGACTCTTTTCTATGTGCTCTTTTCTATCTACTTTCCAGAGATTGTTACAACATGAAGGATAACTAGTATAGTTTTGCCTTAGCAAACCCTACATGAACTCCAAAGAACTCTCAAGAGTAATCCTAGACCATATGTTAGTTGCACGTAAAAGTCATCTATTGGGAGACTTAAAGGCCTCCTTTACATTAAAATAATAGCAGGTTGTATACCCAGAAAAAAGACTTGACAAACGTGATGACCACTCACACTCATACTTTTTTGTGGGCCAAGTCATCATGTAGAATGAAGGTGTAATTTTAGCATTCCCTGAATGGGAATTTCTAGTCTTTGTTTCGGGTGGGCAGGAGTGCTGAAAAATGCAACTCGTGATTAACTTATGAGAAAATCCTTCAAAATGATAGAAGCTAATCATCTGCCCTTTTTCAGTCAAGCAAATTAAATTTTTCCCCATGCATATCTCTAAATTGCAGTCCTGTACAAGGAAATTATTGAATCTAACCTTAGGCAGTGACCAGTCTTTTTGCACTTACACTTAAGCAATAGATCTCCAAGAATTAATTTTGAGACTGACTTTATTCCTTTTGAAGAATGGTTTGAAATGGGCCTCATGCTGGAATCAATTTTTCAAGTGTATTTGAAAATGAGTAAGGATGTCTTCTCATAGTAGATGAGTCTTCATTAGTAAAATACACATTGTGTGGTGTCCATAATTATGGTATCACATTTTCTCCAGCAAAATTGCTGGTAGGGAGAAGAAAGTTCTTTGAGATGATGTGTAGGGTCATTTCTTTTTTAAAAATTGGAGACAGCTAGAACTAAGAAGCTATTTTAGAACTCAGCATCTGAAAATGCATATGTGTTAATGGAAGAATTTAGTTTAATTGTAGGAAAAAAAAAATACATTTCTCTGAGATTGCTTAAATGTTTTTCGAACCAAAACAAATAATATAGAAAACAAGGAAGCCATGTAAGGAAAATGATAACCCGCAAAAGAATAGCTGGGAATCATCTCTCATGGCCTTTGTTTTCTTCATATTAGATCTCCAGAAAGCTATTCGAATTAATTTTGTTATCAGTTGCTAAATCACTATTGACCATGTCTACACTGCCACCAGGAAAAAATTCAAACTCATTTCAAAGAGCTTCCTACCAAACCAGTCAGGGATATTCTATACAGGAATCCAATATCAAAAATACAAAAGCATTATTCATTCTGATCCTATTCCAAATTAAGTAAGTTGGTAACCACATGTTACAATTGGAAAACATCTTGGAACTATTTAACTCTTTCTATTGCACTTTGTCTTCCAACTTTAAAAGACAAAATTTTTAAATCTGACCATAGCCCTTATGATTGATTGTTCAGTATATAATCAAATGTATCCTACAAGGAATATTTTATTTGGAATTAATCAAATTGTTTTCTGCCAACAATAAGTTAGGTTGTTTTTTGCAGTTCTCAAGTCACAAATATGAGGACCGAACTCTCATTCAACATCCAAGCCCTTGCAGTTTGTGCAAATATATGTTTATCAAGAAAGTGAGTAATAGAATGCCTTTTTCTCTTATTTTTCTGTGTTCATGAAATGAATTAATGTTTTCATTATGTCACTTTAGGACATTGCTAGTATTATTTTATACTTCAAATAAGTGAGTCTCCTAGCTATCTATTAAGATAAATATGTATTGCTTTCTTATTTTTATTCTGATTCTAAATCAATGATTTCAAGAAATTGAGCAGTATATTACTAAGTAGGCAGTCATTTGATGTCCGAAACTTCAGGCTTGATCTCTTACTCTGTCGTAACCGATTATTAGTGCTGATCTTAAAAAGAAGCAATTATTTAAATTCCTCTGATGATAAAAGTAACCCCTGATGAGAAAAGAAACCCTGAAAAATGTAGCACTATAAAACCTATTAATTAATTTATTATCTAGTCTTTTGAATGTGTGTATTTGTATGCAAATATATATTTGCATATGTGTCTGTAGTTTGTTTACTTAACACTTAAACATGGTATTATGAACATTTTTCCATACTATAAAAATACTTAAAATCATTTAAATGTCTAAGTAACATCCTATGACCACAGGAGAATTAATTTAAATCTTCTATTGAGAAGTCTTTAGATTGCTTCCACTCTTTCCGCTATTATAACTAATACCAAAGCATTTTTATGGATTAATCTTTATTCACATTTCTGGTCATTGCTTAAAGATTTATGCCTGCGTGTCACATAACTGAGTCAATGATTATGAATATTTTTAAGGCTCCTGATATAGATGTTATTAAAGTAAATTTTCTGAAGGATTGTACTAACATATACTGTCATACTGCTGCATTCACACCAGCATTGAGATTTATCATTCTTAAATCTTTATTATTTCAAGCATGAAAATATTTGTTTTGCATACATTTGATTACTTCTGAAATTTAACAAAATTAGTAGTTTGTATTTCTTCTGTGAATGTTAGCTTTATATTCTTTACTGCATAGTCCCAAGTTGTAGTTCAAGTTTATTACTATATTTTGGTTATTTGTTTCAACTCAGATTTTAAACACTGACATCTCTCTTTGATCCTAGTTAAAAATGGAAAGTTTTTATAGATCTAATAGCTTACAGTCCTGTGATATTATTATTGATATTCTTGTATATGTATATAAATATTTTAGATATATTTTTATTATTTTTTGTAGGGACAGGCCGAATCCATCATTAGTATGGCTTTTTACTGGAATGTTTTGCATTTATTCATTGTTCTTTGCTTGGAGAGCAAATTTAGATATTTCAAAACCACTTTTCATGGGTGTGGTAAGTTTTACTTAGATATAGATATATCATTGACCAGAATGTTTGAGAAGAATGTACGAATTTGCATTTCATGAATCTTGTAGAAGAGCAGATTACTTGAGAAATAGTTAAAATTATATTTACATTTTTATAAATCAAAGTTAAATTATTGAGTCAGTACAGCTAAGGCCTCTTTTTAGGATAAAAAGAATGCAATGTTTAATTAACACAGTTGTTAAATAGAAAAATACATGTAAGGTAGATTTAAGTCAGTCGTGTGTGTGCGTGCACGCGCACGTGTGTGTGTGTGTGTGTGTGTGTGTGTGTGTGTGCACGTGCACGCTTGCAAATATAGGCCCAACAGCATTTCTCCTGGAATTTTTTAATAGCAAAAGAAATATGAATTGCAATTGAGGGCACTTAACCACATACTCCCTTATTTCTTACCTCCCCTGTCCCAGGCCTACGCAAAAGAGCAACTGTGTTTCTGTTTTCCTTGGCAGCAGTTTCTGAGATTAGAGTATTTCTTCTACTTATAATAGAATCTCTGTAAATATCAATAGCTTTTTTTTGACAGCTGAAACCAGCTGGTCTTTGTGTGTGTGTCTGTGTTCATGAAGCCTAATAAATAATACCCTACTTGATCACCTGAGTTCTGAATAAATTGAGAAGGTAATCCAGTATAACGGGTGGGAGAATCACCTTTATTACTGATAATACTGAGACTTGAAAATGTGGCTTATATCTTTGGCCAAGAAGGCTTCCTCTTTTAGCATCTCAGAATGAACAGATTTTCCCACTAGTCACAGGCAGTACTGTGCAGGGCAGGCCTCTTCCCATGTCTCCCCCACCCCATGGGTGCCACAGAGACAGACTCTGTCCCTGGTCAAGTGCTTCCTGTGGGTAAGCTCAGTTCCAGGAAAAAGTGAGAGTTTCGAAAAGGGAAGGCCCTGCAAGCTGAGTCCCAGCTCCCAAACTCCCCGGTTGGATCAGTCCCTACATCCCACAGGAGGAAATACGTGAGGGGTCAGAAAGAGGCCAGGACAGTGGAGCTTCTCCCTGTGGAAGGAAACATCAGGAGTAAAGCAAAAGCATTTCTCTACCTGTTTCAGCCTGTGTATTACTGGAGTTCAAGAGTAAGGCCACAGTATTGAAGTGAATGTGTGGATCTAAAAAGGGAGATGCACGTGTCAAACTGAGAAGGAAGAATGTTTGAAAATAGAAAAACGATATGACCTGGGCTTGGATTGGGGAAATCAGCTAACAAAATCTGAATGACAACAGGCACATGCAACTAGGTTTATGCAGTACATTTAAAAAATATATAAGTACCTGATTGATAGCATAAACTAGTCAACTGGACCTGCTGGTCTCTTTCACAGGTGGAACGATTCTGGATGCAGAGCAATGCAGTAGTGGCTGTCCTCGCTGGCACTGGTTTGGCTGCACTTGTATCTGAGACTAACCGAGTGCTGAATAACAGTCGGCTTCAGTGTCTGGAATGGCTTTCTGCAACTCTTTTTGTAGTTTACCAAATGTATTCTAATTACAGGTAAACACATGGTTATTTTTGTGAGAAGTAGCTGTCAAGCCAGAGATAGCTGAATATTTAGATTCAAACAGTTTATTTCATTTTTAACTTCTACTGGTTTTCAAGACTCAAAGTGAGACAGCTTGGTTGAATGCAGTAGTTCTTTAACTTTCGGGGTTGTTAAACTCTCCAGAACCAGACTCTCAGCATGAGTGATGTATGGTTTCAGGCCATGGCAAACACGGGTTTAGGTGGTGCATGTAGACAATTTGTATCTTTTTGTCTCTTTTTCTCTAAAGAACCCTAGAGATACTTTTAGAATCCGTAGTATAGGTAAAATTCCATGACTGAAATAACACTTAGGTGAAGAGTAAAATGATTTAAGGTCTTTTTGTATATCCTAAAATAATTGACTTTATGCTTTATGTCCAGTTGACCCTGTAGTAGTAAATATTAATTTTTTTTTTTAGACAAGGTCCCATTCTGTCCCCTAGGCTAGAGTACAGTAGCGTGATCATAGCTTACTACAGCCTCGAACTCCTGGGCTCAAGCAGGTCTCTGCCTCAGCCTCCTCAGTAGCTGGAACTATGCGCACATGCCACTATTATCATGCCTTTTTTCTTGACTCTTCTTTTCTGTTTTCTTTTTTTAGTAGAAACACGGTCCCACTATGTTGCCTAGGCTGGTCCTGAACTCCTGGCCTAAAGCAAGCCTCCCTCTTCAACCTCCCAGAGTGGTGGAGTTACAGGTGTGAGCTACCACACCAGCCTTAATTATTTTTAAATTAAGTTCTAAAAGTTTCTTAACTCATGTATTACTAATATTACATGTATTTCTCAAAATCTATGTAATAATCATTACAATAAGAATCTCAGTCTAACATAAAAGATGTCTCAGATTATAGTTGGTTTTTGTTTCCAGCAATATCAAGTACACATTATAGAATTGGAAGACAGTCCCTTGGAATTTTGCTGTAGTGAGATTTGACTGGTATTGTTTTAAAGGATTAATTTTTCTCTTTTAACTTTAAAAACCAATGTTCTTATCATTCAACCCTGTAACCCTATTACTGGGTATATACCCAAAGGAATAGAAATCATTCTACCATAAAGACACATGCATGCAAATGTTTATTACAGCGTTGTTCACAATAACAAAGACATGAAATCAACCAAAATGCCCATCAATAGCAGGTAGGAAAAAAATGTGGCACATGTACACCATGGAATACTGTGCAGCCATAAAAAGAATGAGATCATGTCCTTTGCCAGAACATGGTTGGAGTTGGAGGCCATTATCCTTAGCAAATTAACACAGGAACAGAAAACCAAATACTGCATCTTCTCACTTATAAGTGGGAGTTAAACGATGAGAACTCGTGGACACAAAGAGGGGAACAACAGACACTGGGGCCTACTTGAGAGTGGAGGCTAGGAGGAGGGAGAGGATCAGAAAAAAAAAAATAACTATTGGGAACCAGGCTGGGTGATGAAATAATCTGTACAACAAACCCTGTGACACGAGTTCACCTATATAACAAATAACAAACCCACATATATACTCCTGAACCTAAAATAAAAGTTAAAAAAAAAAAAAAAAAAAACACATTGTTCTTTATAATACTGGGGAACAGCTGGTGGTAGAAAGGCCACATCTTCACTAGCTCAAGAAGGTTCACCAAGCCCACAGGTGAGTCCCAACCTTTTTTAATCCCAGTTATCTCCTGGCTCAGGCCATTAGGGCAGTCCAAGTTCAACATGAGACATGTTTGCACAAGCTAGATGTTTTTATCTTGTTTTGGTTTTTTTATTTGCCTCAGGGGAATGGAATACTCGCACCTTTGGTAGGTGGCACAATGTGCCTCATCACTCTAGCCTAGGGAATCAGGTAGACAACAGTAATTTTTACATGAATTACAAAGGCAGGGATAATATTCCTTTCCTGGAGGTGCTCATTTGCTTCATGATACTAACCCGGTGATTCAGCTTTAGGCCGTGTTTCTCAGCTCTATCCAATGTAATGGACCTGGTCATAACAGGAAGGACATTGCTTGTCTGATTTTTTGATACTTACTGCTGTCTTGTCATCTTCTGCTTTCATATAATGGTCTCAGAATTCATGCCAGTTTTTCTTTGAAGTTAGAAAGTTCACTTTATTCTTGAAAAGAATGAAGTTGTCGGCAGTAGCAAATAATGCCTGGAGAGAAGTAAACAACCCAGTAAACTCTTCCTCCCCTTGCTTCTCATTGGTCTCATCCCCTTAGCGATTTTTTGATCTCTAAAGGCAGAGAGAAACACAGGAGGCCTGTGATTCATGGGGAGAAGTGGAAGGATCAGCCTCTGCCTGCAAGAAAATCATACAAATTCAAGTCACAAATGGGCAGATTTCCTTTTGCGTTTCTGAAAGTTCCTTTGAGTGAATGGAATTAACATGAAATTGCCTTAAATTCCAAGTGGAATTAGAAATCTTACTTTCTAAAGATAAGATTGGATTGCACTTGGGGGGAAAAGGGACCTATTCTTATACACTGATTCCCTTTTTGTGGAAATGACTATAAATTCCAGAAGTAAGCAGTAGACTGATTTTTTCAATTGCACAATTAGCTGCTGCTTTTTTATCAGACGATAGTGCTCTTCAAATTATATATTTTTTTAGAATATATTGAAACACTAAATGTTGATTGTATAATAGGAAAGGAATGACATAGAAAATAAGCCCAGTGTTATGAAAACTGTAGCAAAGTGTTGCCATTTTAATTTTTTTTGGATCGTTTTATTTAGCATTTGTGACCAAAGGACCAACTATGTGATTGATAAATTTGCAAAGAACCTTCTCACCTCCATGCCTCATGATGCAATCATATTACTCAGAGGAGATCTGCCCGGGAATTCTCTCCGTTACATGCATTATTGTGAGGGATTGAGACCTGACATTTCCCTAGTTGATCAGGAAGTAAGTATATGAAAAATACACTTAGAATATAGCAATTACTTAAAAAAGTATGTTTTGGAAAAAACTATCTTCTTTAAAACAGTGGATGGGTACAGTTTTCATGATCACTGTTAGGTAGAATATGACATTCTTTCGTTTAATAGCGTAAGTCAGACTAGTTGATAGCGTAAGTCAGACTAGTTGCCTCTTTCTCCTTTCAAAACATCTAAACTGAATGTTTTAAGAATTAATGTTTTTCATGTTAGATTCATAATATTTTAGGTCTCTAGTTCATGTGACAAACCATAAAAGTGTTTGCTGTATTGTAAATCTATTTTAAAATTGTTATTTTACATTCAGCTAACTCAGCCATTCAAATTAACCTTGCCCATTGGTTCAAGGATTAAAATAAATGATATTGAGTATGAAATAAATCATACTGTGGATAAGTAAACATTTCACTCAAAACAAATTATTAACCACAATTATGCTATAGAATTTTTACGTAAACTTTGTTAATGCTATGACAAAAATACATTAGGAGAGGACTTTTGAAAATTTTGAGGGCTATGAAAATTTTTTTATTTGAACTATTTAAACTGTAAGATTTATTATTTAAGCCATAGATAGATAAAAGGGAAGAAAACTATCTCTGGTGTTTTTAGAGCAGTCATTAAGAAAAGAGGAATTCTAATCTTAAAAGAATAATATGAATTCGGTTGAACAAATTATTAGGCATAGTACTTAATGCATTTTGTTGAATTAATGAATAATTACAATTTTTGGAGAAAACTTTATCAATAGATTTATAAATACACAATTTTATGTTTTTATAAGAAGTTGCATTTATATCATGTATCCAGATTGATTAATTTGATCTTCAGTCTAGCTTCTGACGGAAGCTAGGTTATGTGTTAATAACATAGTTCCACACTGTGATTTTAAATACTGTTTAGGATGTCAGCTACTGTACTTGAGAAGCATGGATTAGAAAGTGAATTAGACCTACACTCAAGTCCTCATTCTGTCACTTCCTGGATATGTGTCATGGGGCTAATGATTTTTCTCCTCTCAGAGCTTCTGTTTCCTTATTTATGAAATGGAAGTCGTTATTAAATAAATTAGGATGCATCTGAATGCAAGACACAGAAATACCTAACTTAAATTACTTATTTTTTTAGTCTCACACGACAAGCAGTCTGGAGATAGGTGATGTTAGGATTGATAATATGAGTAGTTCAGAGACGTCCATTTCTGGGGCAGCTTTTCTGCCATTCTCTTGACTTTTTCCTCCCAGTCACAGGATGGATGCCCAGTTCCAAACATCACAACCTAAAACAAAGCATGGTGCTTCTTCTGGGGCATCTCCCACTCTTTCTCTACTTATTGAGACTAACATGTGCTCCAGAAGCACCCCCAGCAGACCTCCACCCAGGCCCCACTGATGAATACCTAGTCATATACTCACACCTAAGCTGCTCATTAGCAAAGGAGAATGACTAGACCTGAGAGCATTGCAGCCTGAGCCAGCTGATCAAAATCAAGATTGTATTAGTGAGAAGGAACAAGGTATTCACTGTTGAGTGGGCATTCAACAGTGTCTGATACAGTTATTCTCACATAGCAGGGTTATCATGAGAATGAAATGAGGAACAATAAAATCATAGCACACAGTGGGTATGTAATTAATATCCTCAAGAACTGGAACTATTGGGTAATGAAGCCTAATTCAGTAAGAATTTTTGAGTATTTACAGTTTACACTTAGATTAAAATTCGTCATTAACTAAATGACTTATGCTTTAGCATAAGTAAAACATAAGCACAGTTTCTCAAATGATGAGATCCAAACTATTAAGTTTTGGTGATGTAAATGGGAGTCTCTTCTTTAAAAAAAGTTAATAGAGGCCGGGCACGGTGGCTCAAGCCTGTAATCCCAGCACTATGGGAGGCCGAGGCGGGTGGATCACGAGGTCAAGAGATCGAGACCATCCTGGTCAACATGGTGAAACCCC